CATCTTTTCAGTTTTAAATTACATGTTCGATTAATTGAGATTTGTTTGTTGGTAATATCAGTTCAAACTAACTCAGCGGGTCTAAAAATTAAAAATCTAAACAAAAAGCTGAAAATCAAAAATAGAAACTTAAAAACTAAAAACCAAAAACCAAAATTTAAAACAAAATCTATAAATAAAAACTGAAACTAAAAACTAATGAAAAACAACCATCACCACAAATTTTGGTAAACTAATTTTATACCAAAACATTCTTTAAATTAAGACAAAACTCATATAAATTTTTAATCATAAAAAATTTCCGCGATTTTCAAGTGCGGGTCAAAATCTAGTTTAATCTATTAAAATAGAGACATTCTTTTTATCTACTGATAAAAGTTGTCATTTAAATTTGGACTTTCTAGAATGTTACAAATAATATAAGTCTTATAATTGATTGAACCTCATTACTTAAATTAAACCAACACAATTAATGTAACATGGCGACCTTAATGTAAACTATCTTCAAAATACGGCAGATATCTATGTGTCTACCAAAAACACATATTTTCTCCTACAAGTATGGAATGTTCTAAAAGAATATATATTATCAAAATATGGAATATGGAAATCTACTAATTATATTAATGTGGAAATCGTAATATACCATTTAGCATCTTAAAAATTCCTTGAAAAAAATATGGAAATTTAATAATTATATGAAACCAATGGAAATCTACTATATTAAAATAGAGTTTTTCTTTTTATCTTCTAATACAAATTGTCATTTAAATTTGGACTCTTTCTAGAGTGTTACAACAAGCCATATAGTTAATTGAACCGTATTACTTAAATTAAACCGATGGTTATTTATGGGATATAGTCTTGGGCTTACTTTTGTTTTTATGACAAATTATATGGTTTGATTTTTAGGCTTACTATTAAGGAAAAACTCCAAAAAACATTGAATAAAATTTCTATCTTAATGGATCAAAAAATCAATTATTATTTTCAGGCGCAAATGTATTTAATATGTTTAACAAAACAAAATTGTCTATTATTAATAATTTATTTAAATCATGTACTTTAAAACAAGTTATTGTACTTTTTATTTTAAATAACAATCATTTTTTTGATAAATTTCAATGGTAACTTTCAAATAATTTATTGTTTTATTTTTCTTAAATAATATACTGATTTTAAAAAAATAAATGTAAAGCAAAACCAAAAACCAATTCTAAAAACTAAAACTCAAAACCAAAAGCTCAAAACGCATTGTTCTGGATAACATATTGTTATAGTTTTTGCTTTTGTTTATTTACAAAATAAACTATTGCAAATTTGTTTTTAAAATTTTTTGTCATCTTTTCAGTTTTAAATTAGATGTTCGATTATTTGAAATTTGTTTGTTGGTAATATCAGTTCAAATTAACTCAGCGGATCTAAAAATTAAAAACCCAAACAAAAGCTGAAAATCAAAAATAGAAACTTAAAATTTAAAAACCAAAATTTAAAAAATAAAAACTGAAACTAAAAACTAATGGAAAAATCGTCATCACAAATTTTGATAAAATGATTTTATACCATGACATTCTTTAAATTAAGACATAACCCAATTATATAAATTTTAGTTATAAAAAATTTCCGCACTTTCAAGCGCGGGTCAAAATCTAGTATATTATTAAGATAAAAAATAATAAAGTTGAATGTAACACTACTACTTTACATATTTTTTAGTTTCTAAATTTAAAAATTATATGGAAGCAAATTAAATTGGACTTATATATAGAGTATAGAAGAGAATTTTTGAGATAATGTTAAAAACAACAAAAATAGTTTTTAAAAAGAAACTATAATACACTGTACATAAAAATAATTTTGTAGTAAAGATCATATTTGAGAAATTGCTTGAAATAAAATAATTTGGATAAAAAAAATCTTTTAGTTAGAAATAGAATGAATCCTTCTAACAAAAGCTTTTTAAAATCTTTGTAAAATGTTTTTTTTATTTAAATTAATCATTTTGAATTGTTATCTTATCTATTAAAACAGAAGTTACAACTTTGATTCAACTGTGATTTTTTTTTAAAAAAAAATGGACCCTCATTAAAAAACAATTATCATTTATTTATTATTAATAATATTACTTATTATATAATTCCCTAAATCTAATTCCAGTTTTTTTAGTATTGTTATATGTATACGTGGTAGTTGTATTGCTAAAATTAAGGAGATTTGATTCGAATACAAAAACTAAATTAACTCTCTGTATATAAATATAGCATAATTTTTTAAGGTAATACTATATATCATCATTATTAATGTTTGAAATTTATTAAATAACTGATAGATTTTTAAATCCAGATTTTGCCTCTTTATAAAGTAGACCATCATTAAAAATCAATTATCATTTATTTATTATTAATAATATTACTTATTATATAATTCCCTAAATCTGATTCCAGTTTTTTAGTATTGTTATATGTATACGTGGTAGTTGTACTGTTAAAATTAAGGAGATTTGATTAGAATACAAAATCTAAATTAACTCTCTGTATATAAATATAGCATAATTTTAAGGTAATAATATATATCATCATTATTAATGTTTGAAATTTATTAAATAACCGCTAGATTTGTAAATCCGGATTTTGCCTCTTTATAAAGTAGACTCTATATCGCGATTATTATAATAAGATTTAAAATATATATATATATATATATATATGTATATATATATCAAAAACATAAGAAAAAGTCTGTTTATATAAAAAATATAGTAAAAATTTAAATCTGTTTTGCTTTCTTTTCTATTTCAAGTTAAAGTTATAAAAAGATAATTTAAACGTTTTTTTGGAACAAGTCAAAGTTATGATATATAATAAAAATAAATTACAACTAAAATTAAGAAGTACATATCTAATAAAAACATTGAAATTTACTTTTTTGTAAAGCCATTTAAATTAAATTTTACATTTTAAAAATAACAATTTACATCAATCTGAATTACATATCGATCACACATCCATTCAACCGATTATTTTCTTGGTTTTTAGCTGTTTTACGGGGTTTATAAGGTATTTAAATAATGATTATTTCTTAAAATTAAAACCAGATTACATATCGAGTTTACCGGTTCCACCACATGTCTAAATGGGTTAAAAGCGATTTAGATATAAAAATGTTTTAAGAAGTCAAAATATTTTAAAATCAACAGAACATTTGTAACATCATTAATGAATTTTTTCATCACAAAATATCCCCCGCTTTTATAGTGTGTGTCAATGTTATTTCTTTAATATTTAATAATTCTTTTTTTTTTGAAAAAACAAATAAATAATACTAGATGTTTAATTAATTACTTTATAATTATAATGTAAGAAGATATAATTTTATTTTTCGAATTTAATTTTATTTAAAACGTTAGTATATTTTTGAAATGAAAATAATTATTTCTTTTACTAAACCACATTTCAAAAGTTCATGACTTTAATAGTCAAACACTAATTCAACAAAATAAAATATATAAAAGAAGATACAATTACATGTTAAATTTGAAATTGTTAATTTGATGAAAAAAAAAGAAATGGAATCACATACTTATGTTTGAAAATTCCATATACACATTTGAATTATGTGATTATAATATACAAAATATATTAAAAAAAAAAACAAAATGTCTATGAAAAAATAAAAAAATTTACACCTGCGCGGTTGCACAGATTCAGATCTTATCATTAAAATAGAATTAAAATATTTCATATACGTTTATTTAGATCTAATAATAATCTGATGGAATAAAACAAAAAATCTATTTATATAAAGTATACTTTTTTTCCCTCTTAAAGTGCCACGTCATTAAATAGTGAATGGAGAAAATGACATGTGTCTAACCGATAAAACATATGTATCGATCGGTTTGGTTAGTGGGCGCAAGTGTATTTAATAAATGAGTCTGATAATAATTATTTGGGCTGACAATAAATACAACTTTGGCCCGTATAACACCTTTCTCCAGTGGAAGCCGCCGCCGTGTTGATGTTCTCCCCTCGAAGGGGAAACTAACTACGTTACGTAACTTGACTCAATTCAATCACTGCCATTAATGTTTTTCTTAATTCCATGTTACCACTCCTTCCACCATTTTTTATTCAATGAATCTTACTTTGCTTTCGGTGAATCTGATAGTATAAATAGGTGAGTCTTGATCCTGTAAACTTCATCCTTTTCATTCCTACCAATCACAATTAATCGCTTAACACTTTCCTTGACCAGAATGGTGAACTCCTCTTTCCTCCTCCCTGACTTCTGCTTCAAATCTGGGCGTTCCAGCCACTTTTTGATTAGCAATGTTTTCAGCCATCGAATTTCGTTTGCATTAACGGTGAGTTTCAGTTACTGATTTGTGACGGAGCGCAAGCATAGAGTGACTTCTTATCGTTGTCCAAAAAAAATAGTGGTTTCTTATCGTTTTCTAGACGATGATTCTGATGTCTGGGAGGTTTCGGTGAAATTAAAAAACCTCCCAACCAGTAAGAATTGATCTCTAGGATTTCGTTCACTCACTTAGCTTAGTTTATTGAAAGAATAGACATTGTTCTTTGATTTGATTTATGTATTGTTCTTAGTTTTGTTTATGTTTTTTCTTGGTTTTGATCAATTGTGATTAAAGAAACATTTCGATTATGTTCTTCACATTTCAGAGTCTGACCTTGGCAATTGAATCTCTTATAGCTGAGTTGGATTACATCATGTTGCAGTTCTTGGATATTGATGTCATCATATAGGACGTCAAATTTAATTCTTTGTTCTTCATACAATCAAATATATAACATATGGTCGTGCGTTACATCTGATGTAAATATATCTGAATACAATCAAACAAAAAAACTAATTTCGATGAAAAAAGAGTGTCATTTTAGATGTCTTATAAAATTATAGATACAATGTTCTGATTGTTTGAGACCGTTAACTATTATGTTACTAATTGAAATAGTAACATATTTTTTTTTTTCTTTTTTCAGCAAAATAAGTTTTTATTTATGCATAGAAATTCGGCAATCACCACAGACCATGGTCACAACTCACAACATAGCAACATGCCTCCAAGGGCTATAGCCACACAGAGTACAGACGCCAACAACGAGTTTTATACTTAAGACTCTCTTTATTACTTATCAACGCTGGTAATAGTAGTAGCAAATGGGAGAGCCTTTCTCAATTCATTTAACGTAAGTCACAAACCAATCAAGCATCTCCTTGTGAGCTTCTTCCGCAGCTTTAACCGCCTCTGGGTCATCCGTCTTGTACCTAACTGTCCAACCGTGTGCCACTTTCGGGTGTATCTTCACATAACTATTCACCTACGCATTCCGTTTTTCAAGTCTATCAGTTTTATTTCTACAGTTTCAGAGATAAAACTTGTTGAGTTGCAGAAGAAGCAGAGTTTTACCTCAGGTTTAGAAGCAAGAATCTCCTCAAATTGCTTCAAGAGTGCTGGTGGGGACAACTGATCAATCTCAGCTCCTAGTATAGCAATTGGTACCTTCCCACCTGCATGTAACCATGAAATCCATTATAAGGTATAATCAAAGACTGGTAAAAGCAAACCATCCAGACCCAATCACAATATTTTTATATTCTTGACTTAACAAAGCATTGAGCGAGGCATGAGACCCAAATACTCAATGTTCCTTGCTTCCTCAGGTGGTTTATGTGAAGAATCAAGATGGAAGTATCTATGTTATCAAAAGTAGCAATAGTCACTCCCTTACCCTTGATATCATCGACTGAGACAAAAGAAGGATGAAGCAGAACAGCTGCCTGGATAAGCTCTTGCTTAGACAATTCCACCACCACTTTTGCTGAAGATCATTAACACATGAGAGAGAGATAAGAAACATGCAGTAAACACTTCCATATGTTAGTAACAAAGACAACAAACTAACCACCCCAACACATCCCTGAAGCTCCAATAGCAGTGATGCCTTTGCTCTTTATGGCTTCAACTACTGGCTTCGTATCTTCAAACCCTTTATCCTGGTAAAAGGGAAAAATGAACTGACTATCAGATGGAATGTATCGAAACAACAGAACAAGAAGACTGAATAAAACTGAATGAAGGAATAAGAAGGATTTAAGGAACAAACAGCGCCATGGTCTTTGAGCCAGACAGTGATGGGTCTCTCCTGATTAGAGGCATCAAAAGGATCTCCATAGAAGTAATCAGGAACCACAACATAAAATCCAGAAGCTGCAACCTTGTCCGCAAGAGCCCTTAAAACATAACATTAAGAATTCAAACTCTATAACAACATTCATTTTGTAGTTGTGGTATAGAATCTCGAGACAGTGACCCGAAGCTTAAAAAATATTTGCAGCCAGTGAAACAATCACATCGTACTTCAGCTTGTGCAAATGCAACGCCAACAAAACTATTACAAAACATACATGCAAAATCTAACGAGACAGGAACAAACTATTACCTCAAGTTTGGAGCTTCATACCCTGAAAGAAGAGCATGAACAAAGTTTTGAAGTCAGAAAACAGATATGAAATGATCAAATCAACAAATGGGTCCACATAAACTTTTTTGTCTTTTTAACTTAAAAATCATATGACTGAGAGCAGAGCAAAGAATAAGAAGTACGATTTACCAAAAACATCAGAGATGAGGATGACGCACAACTTGGAATCGGTAGAGCCAGAGACGTAAGCATCGAGCCCACCCAGCCTCTCCACATGACCCGACCCGGAGCCCGGGTTAAGAGCCGGCGGGTTTTCACAGCACTGAGGTCCCGACATGTGTTCTTCAGTTAGGTTTTAGACAGACAATAAAGTTGACCACTCTCAATCATTACGTTTTCTTGTAGTGGCCCTATTAAATAATGGCGTTATCGTTCGTGGGTTATGACCACAAACAGAGTTATATCGTGATGTCATGAAACATTAACGGTATACAATATTATTGATTTATCGGAATATTCGTTACAAGACTAAACAATTGTTCTGTAGCAAATAACACTAGACATAAGTGACAGAAAGAACCCAACTGGGTTTAAATAGTTTCAAAACATCCATTAGCTAAACTGAGAGAAAGAACCTGTCACTCTCCACTGTCTTTTCTCTAAGTACAAAGCAAAGAAGTCTTAAAGATTCCGATAAGAGGACTTTGATACAAAATGTTCTTCTCAGGTTATTAACCATGAAAAAGAAAGTAAACAGTTTAGGTTACAAACTTATAATCTTCCTGCAAAGCATACACTCTCTTTCTCTCTCTATGAGCAATTTGTACCGCAACATTCTAGAAACGTTTCCATTATCTTTAATGGAAATATTTCCCACCTGTTAATTACATTACATTCCACAACTTCTTTGTCTGATTATTCAGCAGGAACAGCTCAAAGAAGAATCTCCAAAACACGTAGCTTTGTGTGTTACGACTCTGGAGTTGTGAGAGAACCTGCGGCTTCTTGGGGACATGTGAACTCTGTCCATCATGTTGATCTTAGGAGCATCAAGGATTGCCTTTGGCAGCGACAACGCCCATTGCATTCCCCATATTGCGAGAGGCCTCATGTATATCAGTGACCTGTAATGCCCATCCATCGTCCAACCTTCCGGTGTCTGGAACCAGTATCTGTATCAAGTTCAAAATCAGAACTAAACATCTAAACCATCATGATCATGCTGGAGATAAACTTACCCGAAACCTTCTTCTGACCAGCCAGCTGTGAAAATTCCCTCCGCAGTAGTGAACCCTTGTTCCTCCATTCCAGAGAGGATCATAGTCGCTGCTGCTGCATACGTGACACCTGTCCATATCTCACGTGACTGCATGCATGTCTCATCCACTTTCCCATCAGGATGCATCCCATTTACAGCACCCATTCTTCCTCCTTTGGTCTTCATCACATTGAAATCAAAGATCTTCTGCAAAGTGCTTTTGATTTTAGAATCCTCGAAAATCGGAGGCAGACCAGAGGATGCAGTATACCACTGACCCGCAAGCTGATCCGTCTGTATAGATTTGCTGTTGCTGCTCGCCCCGCTGTCATAGTTGAAGTAAGTTCCGTTCCAGAGCTTCGCTTCCAATGCTGCCTTCGCATTCAAAAACTTGTTCTTACACAATTCTGCAAAGAACTTATCACCGATTTGGAGAGCCATTGCGGCGGCTGCCTGAAGAGCAGCAAGCCACAGGCAGCCGCAGTAGGCACTCACGCCATGAACAGTCCACGTATCATATGTCTGATCAGGGAAACCGTCGTTCTCTATTAGATCGTCGTTGTCTCTATCAAACTGTTCCATGTACTCCATAGCAGCACGAACTGCTGGCCAAACGTCTATACCAAATTGGTAATCCCCTGTAGCTGCGAAATCTCTATACACCTGAAGCACAAACTTTGGGTTAAGATCTTTCCACTTGCTTGTGTCATGTATGTTGTAGGCATTCATTTCATTCCACGGATCATGCATCCCTAGATCGTGAGGAACAGCGCCTCTGACCTTGCGAATTCCCAAGTTTCCCTCTGCCAGGAACTTAACCTTCCTCCCATCTTCAGACAACACGGCTTTAGCAAAATCCCGCTGGATATTCAGTTCGATCTTTGGGAATAGCATAAGGAGCGCATATGATGCGTAAAAGTGCACATCATACGTGTTCCACATCACATACTCCACACCTTCTAAGTACAGAAACCTACCAACATCATCGTCATCATCTACGTGCGAGGTGTCAACAAATAAACCATTGCTTTCGTCAGTAACTGATGCTTCCCCATTGCTTTCTATTCCATTACTGTCGCCATTATCAAGGTTATTCTGCTGGTCTTTACTGTCAACTCCACTTGCTTTACCTTCTGAATTTCCTAAATCTGATTGTTGAAGGTGACTATTCCCATTGGCATGGATTGAAGCGGAGTCTACACCAAACAATGTTTGAGGAAGTAAATAACAAAAGAAGCAACAAATTTTTCAAATCATATGGCCATAAAGACGGTACCTATCCAGACTGTACCACCGGCTACCAAAAAGTAAAGCTCATTGAACAGAGTGAATTTGTACCTAAATATCAAAATTAATTCAGGGGACAACGATAAGAGAGCCAAGTTCTAAATGTTCATCATCTATTACAATACTGATGCATTGTGATACAAAGAAAACTTCGAAAGCAATTACCATTCAGGGAGCCTGTCATCTCTGAGGATGGGATTTTGCCATGCCTCAATATCTTCCTCCCACCTCTTATAATCTGAATTTGAAAACAAAGCAAAATCAATAAGAAGTAAGCCCCATTCTGTGTATGTGTAAAATGGAATAGTTTCATATTCAAAAGCAGTATACATCCAAATAGAGCAGTGGCAACTCAAGTGAAGCATAAGACGCGAAGATATTGACAATATAGACACATACGTGTTAGTGCATCATGCACAAGGTCCAGAGCTGCTCTTGGCGAAGTTCCATAAAATTTAGTGTATCTCCTGCAAGAAAAAAAAAGAGGACCGAAAATAGAAATCAGACAATAACCAGTGTTTGACATACCACAATGAAATATTGTCTACATATCTTATCTTCAACCATTTACTCACCCAAGTCAACCACAAGGTTTTATTTTTGATAACCAACCGATTCCAAATTCAACAAGGGGATATTCATTCATTATTAATTTTTCTGAAACGGCAATTTACATTTGCTTGTGCACATTTTATGTATATTAACAAGTGTTCGACACTATTCTTATCATTAGCTTGCTTGACATGTTTCCAGCTCTCAGATTTAGTATTTTGGGATATTAAAAATGAATAAGACACATGACTGAGAGTGCGTCTTCAAAACTAAAAGGACATCCAGCATCAGCGAGAAAATGTAAACTACATGGTACACAGAAAACTTATGCAATGGAAAGGAAAAATAGATCATTTTCATGACAACATTATGAAATAAGTTCGATATAGTTATCGACAACTGAACAGCCTAATCTCTCAATTTTAGGAAGATACTATAAATGCTGTACTTTATTTACCTGTCATATGTGCTTCCCTTTGAAAATTTCACTTTTGGTGATGACCATGAAAGAGCAAATGATACAGTGCACTTGCCATGAGCCTCTACCCATGCTGAAGCTGAAACTGCTGCACAAATAGTATCTCCAGCTGTTGAAGGCGTGCTCGGCCCACTATTGAAGTTTTCTTGATCGAACTTTCCATCCTTTCATATAGAATATCTATATGTCAGTCCATTTACAAATAACACTCCAGATCTCTAAAACAAACGTTCTTATACGAATTCAAAACACAGAAAAAAAGCACATATAATCAAATAGCATGGTATGAAATCCACATGCAAAGTCTGAAACGATGATGGAAAGGAAAGTTACCTTTTCCATTTTATCCCACATATCCTTTGCTGTAAAAGAACTGTCTTCAGACAATCCAAAGTATGGTAAAACAGTCACATTCACATTCTGAGTCTCACAAGCAGATATCGCAAATGTAACAGGAGGGTTTCCCTTGCCTGTCCTGAAAAATGATCACACATTCAAAAGAAACCGACTCGCTTAGAGCAACGAACACAACATTCTACTGCATTTATAAAATATTCTAACAGATCAACTCCTTAGTCGAGTATGTGAACAGATAAGCCGGCAAAATGTCAAACATTCAAAAAATAAGAACAGCGTAAATTGGTTTCACAAGAGGATTTATTTTGAGTTCATTCTTATGCAGAGAGTCAGGATAAAGTACATCCCACAATTTAATAGAAGACACAAGAGAAAGAACAAGACTACTATACATTCATGCAGACAACGGCATAACACAAGTACATGCTTCATACCAGAAACAAACTGCAACGGACAAGTTAGTAACTCGAGATCAACTGTCGACTACTCAGACAGCAGAGGAATCACACAGCAAAAGAGTTCATAAGATAAAACCGGGACATTAACAGTCATAATGCAGAAGACTATGGACCTTCGCACGTGGAGAAAAGTCTATCTAGGGAACATTTCGGTGCTAAAAACTGAATGCGAATATTATGGCTCAACTAGTTATTTTCTCAAGGTAATGCACATTGACTATTGACTAACACGGTGTCGTTAGCTAGCGATAGTTTCCAAAAATGAATTGATACAATCTTATTGTTTTGTCTCGTTCATCAGATCAGTTATTTGCACACTTCAAATGTATGGGATGGAACGTTGCTTTCAACAAATAACGCTTCGGGTATTGCCATTTCCTAATTGTACTCCATTACATCAATAAGAAAGAATTGCAATGTGGACCACGAGATATATGCCTACCAACAGCTTTATAGCCATTAAAGTAAAGTGACTTACTTGTGATGTAAGAGGACGCCAGAGACCCCATCCTCGCCTCTAAAAGGAAGAAGGACGCAAACAAAACAAAACAAAAAATTACATATCAACTTGAAGCCACGACCACTTATAGAAAATAGGTCATATATTTCTCCTTACATAAATGGCTCATTCACATGACCCCCTGACATATGCGAAGTCCCACCAATTGAGTTCTGCACAATACAAAGCTGGTAAACATCTCCTCTTCTGGATATAATGTAATAGAAGTGAATCAGATGCCAACTCACCGCCCATGTAAAAAGAAGACTGACTTTTGCCCTTTCCTTTCCAGTGTTCACCAACTAAAACAAAAGTAGCAACTCTTAGAAATTCCTCAGACTCTGCTTGGAGATTGATACTCTACAAATGCTACCATTTCGAATATTGAAATTTAACAAGATGTAGAGGTTCTTCAACTAAGAAAAAAGTGTCATAACAGACCCATACATGTGGAAAGTGCCCAACACAGTCTAGATATCCCGAAGGTTGTTTGATAAGAAGTTATATCCGT